CTATGAAATGAAAAACTTGCCACCGCACGGGCCGACTATTTAACTAAAGATTGAGTTAGAAAGATCTCACAAAGGGTCCTTAAGAAACTTTAATTTAACTTTGAATTTCAAAACCTTGCTATACTTTGCAAATTTTTAGATTTTAGCTTTTTATCCTTTTGCTTAGCTTCACTTAGCTTCCTTGCTTCGTTTGTTCTTTAATTCCCTTTGTTTGACTCTTTTAGCTCAATGCACCTAGCCAATCAAGAACAAACACAATAAGTAACAAAAGAGAAAATAAAGTCAAGACACGATCAAAAGAGTACTAATTTCAATTTGTTTCCAAAACACGGCGTTGCCAATTGAATCCCCTGCAACGACGCCAAAAACTTGGTGGTTATCGCGGGCACCAACATTTAAAGATGCACTAAGACTATGAGTGTGCAATGTGGCCATGTTTTAAATTTATAAAAGCCACTACTACCTCTGATTAAAAAAACAGCTAGGGTGAGTAGGGATCGTCCGAAGGGATTGGAGGTGTGCTTGCAATAGAAACAATGTATAGGGTTAGTAGGTCAAGTGATCAAAAGATGGTTTGTCTGGTTGATTAAACTACAATGCAATTGAAATTAAAGGAAGTAAAAGGTAACAATTTAGAATGTAGGAAAAAAGATATAGAGGAGAGGACTTGGGGTACTAGAACTCACCACTAAGCTTGACTTCACTAGACACTAGCAATTATATATCAATGGGGAAATTGAATTGTAACTTGTGTATGTGTGCATCATTAATTGAAACTAGGAATGGATGGCAAATAAGTATAGATTGTCTAGCCAATTCAAATGGAAAACACAACCTATCAAATGAGACCAAAATCCATTCAATCAAGCCACAGTTTATGCACACACAATTATCTAGAAGCATACACCATTTGCATTCATAAGTATGGAACACCAAGGAACAAGAATAGATTGTCCACCTATCTATGAATCTAAGGCAACTACACTACAACTACACTGAAGACATGGAAATTAAACTAAGTAAGCTGAAGGTGTGGCACAATCCATTAAGAAACAAACGTGAACCATCAAATAAATTACAAGAGTGTTTAATTAAGCACTATGTTTTGACCATCTCTAGGTTAACTTCATCCATACACATAGATATGCATAAACTCCACTAAATCTAGAGAAAAGCACATGACTCATCCATTCTAGCATACGTAGATATATGGTTAGAGATAGAGAATCAATTAAAAGCATTAAAATCCATTCACATCAAGTAGAAACCGCAAGATATATATATATATATATATATATAAATCTAAGATCAAAACATTTATTACAAGCAAATCCCCAAAAATATACAAAGCACTAAGTCTATAAAGCAAACTTAGGGGCTACTCTAGCCCCAAGTAGATGTCTAGCCACTCATTGAAGTAGTCATCCAACCCTCAGGGCTATCTCCATGGTAGGAATGACCTCCTTCTTAATGGAAACCCTAGAAGAATGGAAGAACTCCCAAAGATGTGTAAAAAGCTCTCTAGTCTCTAGCCTCCTCTCCAAGAAATAAGATATGTATGTGTCTTGAAGATATGTTCAATCTTTTTTTCAATCCCTTCATATGAATGACTCAAAATCCTTATATAGGAGGCTCAAGTGTCACACCCAATGGTCTGGATTTGTGCACTAGGGTCCTTGCAATGATTGCACCATGAGCCAACTTTTAATGAGCTGGACTTTGTTTTAATTCAGACTTGAGGAGGTTCGATCGATCGAACTGTGTTGAGATCGATCGAACATTGGTGAGATCCATCGAATGCTGCAGAGATCGATCATCCTTGGCAGTGCCTTTTTGAATAAGGATAAATCTCTAAGATATTTTGGGATATTTTGGGAAAGAGACAAAAGTGGTAGGTGGGGTGGTAAGTGTGGATAAGATCGAATAATTTTGATTGATCTGAGAAAGGTTGGATCGATCGAAGATGGTGAGATATTTTGGATAAGGACAATTGCTTGGATCCATCTTGATATGTCTAGATCGATGTTGCTCTGATCGATCGAAGGAATGTTGAGATTGATCGAACTTGCTGATTTTCCACACTTTGCTTCCACTTTGCTCCTTTCTTCTATTAGCTTGAGATTGCTTCTTTTAAGCTCTTATTTGGCTGAATTAACTTATTTTTAGGATAAGCACCTAAAAATGGCAATAACCTGAAATGAATCTAAGACGGGTAAATAAGATAGATAAAGGTCTTGGTTGTTTTGGGAATTAACTTATTTTTACATCAACGGATTTCTTGTGTTTTAAATCCTAGTTTGTAGTCTAGGTAGATGCATACCATAATTTCTTGACATTTCATATGCCATTATAGTTGATGAACTTAGGGCACGACTTGTGTGTTCCAAAATCTTGGTTGTGCATGGAATGTGGTTTAATGCATTACTTGTATCTTAATACACTCTTGGTTGCACAAATTATTGATTTTGGGACTTGGGATATCAATCAAGAATTGACATGGCTAGGACTTGGTTCTAGTACAGGAGATAAAGAGCTCCCTATATCATAGTGCGCACAAAGGGAAGGTACCCATAGGTTAGTAGCCCTAAAGTGATGCCAGGAGTACGGTTTTAATCCGGGCGATATCCGAGTTTCCACATTGGTTGATTTCACTCTTTAAATTTCAAGTTGCTATTCCTTGAAGATTTAAAACTTGTCGTGTTATGTGAAATGCTCCAATCTTATTTCATTGCATAGATATTATGCATTATCCTTGATTTTCATGTATTTTTCTTGTCTTATTAATTGAAGTGTTCCAATCATGTTAATTACATTGATAATGTAATTCTTGTTAATTCATATTCAAGTACCCTTCTTGTCGTGGTAATTGAATTATTCCAATCTTGTTCAATTACGTTGATAATGTGATTCATGTTAAATTGTAAACTTGTCGTGTTCTTTGTATTATCCTAACTTTGTTTAGTTTCATAGACATCGTGATTCATGTTGCTTCATGTTGATATGACTTAGGAATGATCCTACATAAGCATCTTGACTTAGATTCTAGGTGGCATGAACCATTTTAGTACTTATTGCATTCTAGGTTAAAAGTTGATAACTCTGGATACCTAAGTTTTGTTGCATTACATTATGTGCTCCTATGTTGTTGAAATTGCATAAAGGATGTGTTTTATGCTAGAAATGATTTAAGGTAACTTATGATGCTCCTTTAGTCTCACTTTTGACATAGATGTTAGGTGGAATGAACCACAAGTATCTATTTATGAAAACTTGTAAAATGTTATGTCTTTGCATGCTTATCTCCTACGAGTAGCTTTATGTTACTAACCCCGAAATTACTGGGGGTATTGTTTAGGTATAGGATTCAAGACTTAGAGATTTGCACTTGCCTTGGGTGGTTTGGAGATTTGAAGTTTCTTTTAAAGTGTTTTTGTTCACATGCAAGTGTTAGCATTTTTAAGTTTTACTTTTGATGTTGTAACACTTAGTTAGGTTCAATATGCTCTTCTTGACTTATTATATGTAAAGTGTACTTAGATACACTATTTGGGACCTATTTAATATGTATGACATGAGGCGAAGGGCCACAAACCTTAAAGTTTAAGTGTATGCATTTATATTCCAAGTTTTTCCTTTGAAATGTAACTTTTCTAACTTTAGAGGTTTAATATGTGATTTGGAGTAAATGACATGTAATGAGGCCATGGGCCATTGGAACACACTTCAAAACTTAAAGTATACTTGTTGGCATGTTTACATAGCTTAAATTATTATTTTTGGACCAATTTATGTTGGGGTTTACAGCTTAGGTGAAGCCTTAACATTTCTTGTGCATAACAGGTCATTTAGCACCATCTTAAGTCATTTCGGTCGTCCAAAATGCTAGTTCGGTCGACCGATGGCTTTTAGAAACTTCATTGCACAGTAAAACACTTGTTCTAGTAGCCATTTTCACTGTTTGGGCCTATTTTGGTCAACTGATGGCTTATTTCGGTCTACCGAAGTAACCTCCCTTCAAAAATATGTTTTTAGGAAAGTTTTTGCCCAGTTCAGTCGACCGAAATAGCTCTCATGCACCAGCCTCTTCAGTTTTGTTTCAGCACTGATGTTCCGACTTCAAATGGTCATATCTCCTTCATTTCTAATCCAAATAGGGTGATTCTTGATCCTAAATTCATGGATTTTGAGTCAAATTGCCAATGATACTAATACCTTTCTCAGATTCAAATCACAGTGATAGTTATTCATGTTTTAGTGAGATAGTGTTAGGTTTTGCTTGAACCGGGAATGGGCGTTTTGTGGAATTCGTGTCCAATGTTCTTAGAACCTCTTGGAATGTTGTGAAATGATTATTTTAGGTTGTATGGACCTTATTTGGCTTGCTTGGAGTCAAATATATCTTCTTAGTTGTAAATTGACCATTTTCCCCTTGATTGACTAGTTTTGCTCGTTTTTCTTCATCTTGTCATTTCTTTTTCGTTCAGACCCCGAATCATGCGATTCTTGAGTCCATCTTGATTTGTTTTTTATTCTATTTCTAGTGATGTACTCGGTGGCACCTGAATTTATATTTTTAGAAATGACTATTTTGTCTCTGGGGGCTTAATTGTTATTTTTTCCTATCTCTTGCCTACACACTTTGTTCCTTTGGGTTCCGTGACCTCACGGAAGGTCATCTTACGGTCTTTGAGGTGTGTTAGGCCTCAAGAGACCATTTTCATGTTTCTTACTTCCACATCTGGATCCATTAATGGGTCAATCTTTGGTTTATCAGTGACGCACCGGGTTGAATAAAACTCGGGTCACTACAGAAGGTGTGTGCCAAAAGTGAGATTCTGAGCATTTTTGTGTTTTGCCATACTCTTGCATGTGGTGGGCATTTTTGAAGCAACTCTTCTTAAAGTACTTCGTCACTTATAAGGTTGCCTTCGCCTACCACCCTCAAACAAATGGGCAAGTTGAGGTCTCGAATCGGGAAATCAAGCAAATTCTTAAAAAAAATGGTGAACACAACCCGAAAGGATTGGTCGAGAAAATTGAATGATACTTTATGGGCTTGCCGTATGGCTTATAAGACTGCAATAGGCATGTCTCCTTATAGACTTGTTTATGGGAAGCCTTGCCATCTTTCGGTTAAGCTAGAACATAAGGCTTTATGGGCAATTAAAAAGCTTAATCCTGACCTTGATAAGGCTGGTGAGAACCGTTTACTCCAATTGAATGAGTTAGAGGAGTTGAGACATAATGCCTATGACAATGCTAAACTCTATAAAGAAATGACGAAAGCTTTTCATGATAAACACATTGTGAAGAAGTCCTTTGAGCCCGGACAAAAGGTATGGCTCTTCAACTCTAGGCTCAAATTCTTTCCCAGAAAGTTGCGTACTAAATGGGAAGGCCCTTATGAGATCATTTCCGTTGCTCCTCATGGGGTGGTTGATCAAGAGCCTAAAAGATGGAAACACATTCAAAGTGAATGATCAAAGATTGAAACCCTACATTGAAGGACAAGCTTTTTAAAGAGATGTGGAAGCCGCCCTCTTGGTGGATCCCATTCATTTGAACGTCGACTAGAGACGTTAAACCTAGTTTCATAAAGTCTTCAAACTCTATTCTTCTCCTATTTCTCTTTTTTCTTTCATTCTTGCGTCGTCTAGATAGGTTTCATGGTGCATCATTGAAAAATTCCAGGCATTTTGTGCCTTTGAAAATTTTTGCATTAGAAATGATTAAAAAAATTTCAGCTTTTTGTGCTCAAGCATATTGCAGTTTGATTAATCGCCGAGCCTTTTCGATTGATCGTAATCATTCTTCGATTGATCGAAGTCTGCAAAATCCCATCTTGCTTGAAAACATGCCCTCGGTATCTCTCTTCGTGAGTATTTTCGATCGATCGCAGAAATTGGCAATCGATTGAGTATGTGTTTTAAAATTTCCAAACTCCTAGAGTATGGCTCATAAGTTGCCGATCGATCACTAATATTTTTGATCGATCGAACTGGGTTCTTTGATTGATCATGGAGTATTTTCGATCAATCGCTAGCATCATCGGATGTCTCATGTTCCAGGGGAACGTTCGACAGAATTCTCTATCGATCGCCAATTTTTCGATCGATCGCTTATATAAATATATATATATATATATATATATATATATATATATATATAAAACTTTTCCCATTATGTCTGACGAGCCCCTCTTTCTATGTGTTTAAAAAATGGACTTTGTAATGCGAGAGGTCGCTTCACAAGGTCAAAATATGAATGTGGTTTTGGAAGCCTTTCTAGTCAAATTTACATTTATAAAAACCACTACTACAACTAATGAAGTATAGCGAGAAGGGATCGTCCACGGAGATTACACGTATTGGAATTTATTTTCGACTCTAATGTTTCAATTGATTGCAAAAGAGAGAGATTGGTTGATTAAACTAAGATGCAAGGAAATTAAAATGCAATTAAAATAAACTAAGTTGAGATAGGGATTTAAGAGATGAGAAGTGAGGTCTTGGGGTGCATTGGAATTGCCATTAAGCTCGTTCACCAAACCACACACTTTCAACTAATTTGGGGAAAACATTCTTGTGAACAAAATGTGACTACCAATTGCAATACTAAGCATGTACCATCAAATGCAATAATGAATTGCCTACCTAACCAACAATTAAACCAAGTATAGAACAACCCATCAATTCTAATCATGACCCATCAAACTAGTCACAATTGTTGCACATATCAATCTAGAGAATCATAGAATTTACAATAATAAGCCATGGAATATCAAATCAAGTAAAGATTGTCTACTTACCTACAAACATGAATTAAATTGTAGAACAACCCATTAAGCATAAGCATAATCCATCAAACTAATTGACAAACCCATCTAATAAAAACCATGTCTAGCCATCACTAGATTCTCAATCAATCACACATAGACATGTAATTAATATAGAAAAACTAGTGTAGAGATCGAATCCCAAATAATCACACATACGACGACATGTAATCATATAGAGAATCAATAGAAAGAATTAATCTATAGAAATCAAAGGAGAACCCAAGATTTATTAAATTCACAAGCCTAAAACACTAATCACAAGATATTATTTCCCAGAAAGTATGAAAAAGAGAGCAATCTCCAAACATGGCTCCATCTTCTTCCTTTTTTTCTTTGTTGAATTCTAGAGAGAGAGAGTGTGTAGATGTTGAGATGTCTTCTTGGAGCCTCCACTCTTCTCTTTTCTTCTAACCCTAATCTCTAACCTTTCTAGAGAGAGAAAATAAAAATTACAATGAAATAAAATTGAAGACAAACGATTTTTTACATAATGGTTCAATTCCCCCTTTATACAAGGTCCTTGGAGGAGTGAACAAGTCCTAAAATAAGCCTTTAAAATAAATAATCCCGCAACTATGTGGTAAGTGGAGTTTAGGTGCGCGGGAATAAATTAGCTCGCTGCCAGCACATTTTTGATCGATCGAAGAAAAGCTTCGATCGATTGAACCAAATCCACTGGTGGCGAAATTCTGTATTTTTTTTACCTTTTTCTGGATTTTTCTGAAATCTTTTCGGAACTTTTGCTTGACTTTAAAAAGGTTGTAATAGACCATTTTTAGCCCGTTTGAACCTTATTGACTTGAAATTGACAAAAATACAAATAAGTACTAAAGCGGGAAAATAAAGATAGATGAATGGACTAAAATACCCTCGCTTAGGTGCTAAAATGCGTCACATTTGAGCACTCATCAATGCCCTTGTGTATAGTCATGCATATTTCTATGTGTTATCTAGGGCTTGATCTCATCTATTTCATTTTGTTCTATATTGCCTTAGAATGCTTGATTTGCCCTTCTATATCCCATTGTGATATTTGATGTGAGTTTGCTAGTGTGGTTACTCAAGTAGGTTGTTGAATCTAAGTTTGGAGGAGACGTCTTTCGAATTGGATCATTGCCGAGCTTCATAGATTTTGCCACCACGGTATACTCTTTCCATCTTTTCTATTGTTCTCATTGCACATTGAGGACAATGTATGGTTTAAGTTTGGGGGTAAGATGGTTTTATTGCATTCTACTTAAGCTTGAGCTTTAATTGCATGATTGAGATTTGAGATTGATGTTTGCTATGATTTTGATCTTTTGAGGGCCATGATGCTTAGAATTTAAAATTGCTTGACTTGTGAGTTTAATACTCCTTATGTGCCTTTGGGATGTCATTTTAGGGCAAATTTTTTCGAAAGATTGACAATTTGCTTGCTTTTGTGGTTCACATCACCATGTTTGTGAGATTGTTTTGAGATCATCTCTAGAGTTCTACAATTGCACATGCGCACACTAATATTCATTTGTGGGGTTTATGCTTAGTTAATCATTGATTTGGTTATATCCTTATTGAGCCAGTATTGCTTTGAAAGCTCCCATTCTTGACAAGATGACCTTGCATGCTTAATAACAAACCTTTTGCTGAGTAGTTGGGATTCGAGCCTCATTAAGCATTGAACTCTCGCACTGAAAAGTGAAGGTACACAATAGTTAAAAAATAAAAAATAAAAAATAAATAAATAAATTTACAAAAGCAAATAAAGTGAGCGCTTTTCACCAAAGGTGGAAGTAGGAAAATGATTAGATAAGAGTTGTTTTGATTTATAGCCTAGTTGATTTAAGCTTGTAAGTTCTTAAAGGTGTCTTTACACCTAATGACCTAAAGCTGTTCGATTTGGGAGTCATTGACTTAACGCTCGTTACGTGGATCTTCTAGAAAGCTTAAGAGATCACTACATTGTACCATACTCTTGAATAAAGAGGTTCATTGAATAAGAAGGTTCATTCTTTGTCTTGGTGATTGTTGCTAGATTTGTGTGCTAGTTTGAGACCGGTTGTGCCTATTTCATTGATTTGCTAACATAGCAACCTATTTGATGTCAATTCACTCAAAAAGGGTGCTAGAGTTGTTATGATTTGCATAATCATCTTACTTGATGTATGGAGGACCATAATTGCTTGCTTGTTGTTGAAATTTTGGAAATTTACTTAGAGATGATTGAAAAATTGCATACTTGAGATAGCTTTCTTTCAATGCTTGTTTGGAAAGTTGGTGCCTCTTAAGTGAGAAAGAGCTTAATGTTTTTGGGTATCATTTTTGGAAACCCTCACGAGACTTTACTCATCCACTAGGGGTAATCTAGGGGTTCAAAAGGCATGTTGCATATGTTAAATGCAACCGTATTCCTTACGAAAATGGCACTATCCTTTTACTACTTTTTAGTTCATAATTGTTTAGTTATTCCTTTTTTTTTTTTCTTTGTTTTGTAGTTCATTGCTAGGGACTAGCAATATCTAAGTTTGGGGGTGTGATAAGTGTTCAAATGTTGCATATTTTAGCACCTAAGCTAAGGTATTTTAGTCCATTTATCTATCTTACTTTCCCGTTTTACTTTTAATTCTTATTTTTGTCTATTTCAGGTCAATAAGGTTCAAACGGGCTAAAAACAGCCTATTAACCCCTTGTTGGAGTCAACAAGAAAATCTAAAAGAACTCTAAAAATTTACCCTAGAGCAGTCTCGATCAATTGAAGATTCATCCACTATCGATCGAAGGTTGGTGATCCTTCGAAGCCACGTCAGCAAAAGGATAAGACTGCCACCTCATCGTTCGACCTAATTGGTGATCGATCGAAGACTTTCACAATCGATCGTAGTGCCACGTTAGCGCCAACTACGCAGATAAGGTTGCCAGTTGTCAAGATAAGCATGTCATGTCATTTACGATCGATCGAAGTACTTTTTGATCCATCGAAGTCCCTTTCGATTGATCAAAATCCTGCTAGCAGTGCGCTGCTTAATTCCAAAGCGCGCCTGATTTTTGCCTAACTTTTGGCAGCAGGATTAGACCAATGAAATAGCTAGTTTCTGACTTGTTTCCTATACAAAGTGGCTTGTATTTAAATCAAATTGAACCATTTTGTTAGGGTTCCCAACTTTTAGCTAGCTTTGATTAGACATAGTTTTTCTCTTTAGAGATTAAGTTTCTTGAGCTAGAGAAAAGGCAAGAAAGGAGCTAGAAGATGAACTCAACCATGAAGATAGCCCTTGAGGGTTGCAAGACAACATCTATGAGTGGCTAAATCTTCCTCTTGGAGCTTGGAAAAGCCCCTAGGCTTGCCTTAAACTCTAGTTTTTTGACCTGTTTGGGATTTTTGTTGTAAATAATGTATTGACCTTATGATTTAATAAATCTTGTGATTTACGTCATTCAATTCTTCCAATTAATCTTCCAATTTTATTTACATGTCTATGTGTGATACAATGGATGGTTATGTCTCTATATTAGTTTCTATAAATTTGACGCATGTCTATATGTGTTAGAATTGTGAATCTAGTGATGGTAATGCATAGTGCTTATTGGTTACACTTGTGATTCATTTGATTGGTTATGCTTTTGCTTGGTGGATTGTTCTACAACTTTAGTTAATTAGTTTAA